CCTCTAACTAACGGCAAAGGGATCCATTAGTTCCACCGCGCTCCTCTGTGATTGTTTGCAGTCATTCCTGTAATCATGAGTTTGGGCGCAGAGGTTATGATGGCAGTGGTAGGGCTATGGGCTGTTTTATTACGTCCATGGTTATTCAGATTTGCCGTAAAGATGGCAGATTACTTAAGGGGAGCCATGTCCCAGATTTCAATACTCAATTTTCCTTCCCTCTTCTCTGTTTATGGTCCTCAACAATATACTGTCCTTATGCATGTATATTAGCAAGTATATAGTAATTCCTTGTAATTATTCTAATAAAGTCATGGCCAGTCAAGTCAACCCTTCTTTACATTTCTATTTATGATGAAGAACGTGCACAGTAGTGAAGATCAACAGAGTATAGAAGACGTGAAATTACTACAAAGTATTACTACGATGAAAATTCATACAGAAAAAGCTGAATGTCTAGTTTTGTATATTTTAGACAAGGCCAAACATACTTTTTTTGTTCTTTTTAATATGTTCTCTGTTTTTACGAGTTGCGTGCTAACCTTTGTTGCTTCAGGATTATGTTTCTTGATAACTCATGTTACATGAAAATCCACTACGTACATGTTATTTATTTTAATTACAACAACTCATACAGCCTGACAATTCAGATTCAGGTCGCAAAGGTAATTACATAAAAATATTTTACAATTTCATTCCACAGAAATTAAACTCTTACATAAAACATACACGTTAACATATAATAGCATAGAATTAAAACTCTCTTTAATCTAAAATTTAGTACCCTCTGTTGTCATGATCCCAATCTGTCAAGAAATAGATATTTAACAACAATTGTCCCTACACTAGATCTCTTACCCCCAAATTCTCCAACACTACGCCTTGGTGCAAATCTAAGGGGTATTTTTCTAAATAAATACTTACCTTTTTTAATTCTATGTGAAGTTGTTTGAACGGGAAATTAAGTACAGAGTTTAAGAAAGAAAAATGAAATCTATAATTTTAAACATGTTATGCATGCCACTGCAGGTGAGAAGAAGTGTGTTATTAAGGGTAAACTTATGGAAGTTTAAAAATAAATTATTTGTAAATAGAAAAATGTGCATTGTTCTTGGAATAAAGTAAAAGAACGGAAATAGAGCTACATAAAATGGAACAGGAATAGTATTATTCTATCTCCACCTTAATTTGTTTTCAACCATAAAGATATTAACTTTATGTTGCTTAGCTTAGGTTTGAATCTTAAGAGTAGCAAATCTAGGATTTATCTTAAGAAGCATTGGAAGCAAAACCGGACCTATGTATAATCTTGAGAGGTCCCTGGACCCTATAAACTTCCGATAGAAATATTGTTTATGTATATGTGTACCTTGAAAGTGGTCAATTTAAATCACTTGGCACCCTGAATACTAAAAACCTTTAGGGAACACTGGTTAGTGCCTCTGTCATGTTAAAATCTTGGGACCGCCTCTCATTATTGAAAGGTTAAGGTGGGGGAGTGGTAGTGGAGGTTGTTCAGCCTTGTATCATCAGCTACCTAATTACTTTGCTTAGCATGGAGGTTAATTAAACATGCAGTTTTTCCAGAGTTAATTACATGTGTGGAAGTTTTAGGATTTTGATTGACCAGAGCCTTTAAATGGAATGTCTTCTCTAATAGTACCGACTTCTACGGAAAGTCACTGCAAATGGAGGTGGTTAGTTGAAGCTAAAATTATTTTTGTTTGAAATTATAGACTATTTTGAGACTATCGTAAAAAGTACTTCCAGTTTGCCAAAATTGATAACTGGTGTTGGAAAAATATCTTTCAACCATCCATTCAATGGTCACTTGTTACCAGCTTCAAATTATTATTTTTTAGCCGTGTCTCTTTAATTTTTTGAGGAGTTTTTTTGTATCTTATGATATATTTGCTTGCACCTTTTCTTTTACTTGCAATATTCTTTCATGTTGGAATATATACTATTAATCATGAGTTTGGTTTAGATATAGTATTTATTATGAAATAATTATTTATTCAATTTTAATAAAGTTTTAAATAGATCATATATTAGTCTGTGTCCTTTGCTTATATAGTAGATGATTTAGTGTATAGAGTTTAGCTTATACACGGAAGATTAAATAATCGATTCTTATAAGTATAAAGTTTGAGTTCACAATCTAATGATGGATTGGACAAACCATCATGGATGATTGTAGCACAAGATTAAATATAATTTATCTTGATTATGGGAATAGTTTAATTCCAACTTCTTGTGCTAGTACGTTTTGTATGTATTGAACGGACCAAGTAGAGATAAGTATTTTATACTGACTTAATAAAATAAACTCTCTAGCCATTAAATGTACTTAAACTCTTAATCTTGATATAATTATTATTAGCTGTGTACATTATTGTTGTTTGATTTATTAAAAGGCGAGATTCTTTTGTGGGTCAATATGCCTGGTAAATTGGATAATAATAATGTACATTGGCGAAGTAATAGTTAGCTGATCGAATCCATGTCTCGGTTTAGAGATTGATGATACACCTTTATGAAAGCTTATAAGTTTTCGTGTATAAACCCGGCCCATAGATTTTGTATCCGACATATGAAATAAGTAAAGCGAAAGTTTAAAGGAAATGATCAATAAATTAAATCATCAGTAATTTAATTTAACTGATTTGTATCTGAATCTTAACATGGGGAGTTAATAAGATTTAATAGATGAATTTCGAAATTGAATAAGGAGTGCAATTACGAATTTTTAGTGGATAATTCGTAATTAATTATAGTAGATATTAATTTTGAAAATTAGAAATTAATTTCATAATTGCTAATTAAATTATGTGGTCCCTACTGTGCCTAAATAATACGAAATAAAGGAATCATTTTTCTGGTGGAAAAGAAAACCCAACAGGTTTTGAAAAAGGGTTTTAACCCTTAAAACTTGTGCTATAAATACATAAGGTTTTTCACCTAGAGAGGGTAGTACATGGTGGCCGAAATTTTCATCCAAGTTTTCCTAGAAATTTCGCCCATACGAAATTGCTATTTTCGGATATTATTTGGGTAACACAGTAGAAGACCGTGGAACGTTCGGAGATCGTGATCATGCGGCTGATGAAGATTTCATCGAATTGCTGTGGAATTGGAGGCTCACATGATAGATGAGCTTTGTCCACGCTTCAAGAGGTAACCCGTGAAATTCCGTTTATACTAGTTGTCTAGAATACAAGTGATTTTGATATTGGGATTACTTCCGCTGCTTATTATATTCCATCATTTCCATCCTTCTCAGCATTTTTTTACATGCATATATCATTGGCCTGACATTTGCCGACTTAATCATCAGCCAGACAGCACACATTGGCTAGCGACTACCACTGAGCTACTGAGGAACAACGGACTTAATGTTGTAAGTCGACTCTTGTTCTTTTGACCAACCTATGACCGAATAAAAAAGAGTTCGTCACTCTTTTTCACATACACAGGGAGAAAAGGTTACGATAGCAAGCCCCTCCCCCGCCGGAGAGCCTCCAGGACAAGGAGGCGGCGATCAACCATCCACTCTCAAGATTCATATTGACCAATAGATCCCTACGTCCCGCCAGTTCGCCACCTACTGAAAGTGAAAGCTACTTGATTCTCTTTCAAGATCGTAGAAGCTCTGCTACTAATATGAAGGAAAAATATTCTATTGTAAATTTCGGAAAGATCTCTACAATGCCCACACTTCTCCACAAATCTCTACACAAAAAATAAGTAATAGTACCGCTATTTATGATAATAAATAGATAAACTAACAAATATAAAATCTTAAACGATTTAGGTTTTCTACTCCATCTTTAAAATGATTTTTCAATATTTACGTATTTAAAGAATTTAGAGATTTTGGATACTAATTAGAGAGTCTTGGATATCTCCTGATTGTCTTTTCCCTAAGTAAAGGCTTTCCTAAATATCACCCGACTTCACATATCTAACTGCTTTAGAGGAGTTGTTTGTTTAATTTTGTTCGAATTTAAAGCATAAGAAGTTAACCAAAACATAGAATTTTACTTTCGGTTTTATATTTTTATTAGCTTAAAAGATGACTATTAAACCAAACTGAAAGAATATTGAAAAACAAGACAACCCGGAGTAGCTTTTATCCGGCCAGCTATGACTAATGTTATGGACATTGTATTGTTATCTAAGCATGCGAAAAAGAAAAAAAAGAAAAAAAAATTCTCGCAATATAACTTTTAAGATTAGTTTTTTTCGTGTTTGGTTGAAAGTATTAACAAAATCAAGTATTATTTTTGTGCTAAATTCTTGGTATAACATAATATATAAGGTGGATTTATTATCCAAGTTATAATCTTCGTTGTCCCGGTTGTAATGCCAGGATTATAGGGTGTGTTTGGTACGAAGAAAAATATTTTTCAATTTTCCCATGTGTTGGTTGGCTTAAATGTTTTGGAAAACATTTTCCTTATGAACTTATTTTCTTTTAATTGGAGGAAAACATTTTCCAAAACTCCTTCTCAACCTTCCCCACCCTCACCAACCCACCCCACACCCCCATACCCACCCACCCAACCCTACGCCACGCCCTACCCACCCCACCCCCTCTCTCAAAAAAACGGTTTTTTTTTTTAAAATTTCCAGTTTTTTTCCGTCACCACCCACCCTGCCCCCCTCCCCGTGACTATTAAAAAAAGTTTTTTTTCTTTTTTTGAATTTTCAAATTTCTATTTTTTGTTTTCTGCACCACCCCACTGACCCCCCCCCCCCCCCCCAGTGTCTCAAATTTTTAGATTAATACTACACTTAGGGAGTAACAAAACAGAAGAGAAATAATGTGCTAGTAAATTTTGTAAATTTTGCTCAATCATTCAATTGATGATTGAGAAATCGAAGAATTAGACAATCTATCGCAGGTTTTTGGCATATCGCTAGTACATATCTTAGCAGAGAAAAAATCAAAATTACAAATGGAACACTTGCTGATACCAAACTAATGTTTGCTTTGATTAAGCAAAAGCAAATCTATTTCTTTGTCACACCAATCCTCATAAGAGCAACATAAGCCAAGAATCTGTAACCCAAAAGCATAATAGCCAATGCAACCACTGAAATGCCCTTACCTCCGAGCCCTATAGTCTTTATGGAAGGAAAATCCTCAACAAGACATGTCGCGTTTATTCCACACGCGTACGTTTCACCTGGGCTATACTGTGATCCCAACAAGAGCTTGTACGCGTACTGGCTAATTGAAACGTACTTGATCCAGGCAATGAAGCTCGGGACATGTTGAACGAAGTACCCTCCAGCTAAGGTGAACGATAACATGATGACTGAACCGAGTATAGTGGCTGATTTTTGGTCCATAACCATTGCACCAATAGCAAGTCCAAGTCCTTGGGAAACTAATACATTATAGAGGAGGGCGAATAAGGTAGAGAAGAAGTGCCCAGCGGACAGTTTCAGGCCAGCCATAAAGTATGTTATAACGACGAAAATTGTTGGAAGGACTAGCTCCATTGGAAGGTCACCTACAGTCCTAGCCATGAAATATGCCGAGAGTCTGTACATGCCTGACGATCGTTCTTTTTCCAGCATCATCCTCTCTTGTGGGAAGGTAAAAATAGCTTGGAACATAGGATAAAACTCCCAGAAATTAGAGTAGAAGAACAAAAGCCCAATCTGCAATAGTTCAAAATAAGTAGGATTAGCAAACCTGGAAATAATGTAGGTTACTTGCTAAAACAGGTTAAAATATACAACAACAACAATCTAGTGGATTACCACAAGTGGGATCTGAGGAGGGAAGGATGTAAGCAGCCTTAGAAACATTGTTTCCGATAGACAAAACAGGTTTAAATATAAAAATTCTTTACACTGTTAGTATACATAAGTTAAATGCTTAACGAATTCCTACACTTTTAGATATTTTTTTTCCCTAGATAACGGACTCAAATAGTCGCATTACATCATTTATATAGTTGGACTATTCTCTCATTGTTACAAGTACTATTTAGAAGTTAAAATACACAGGATGATGCCCTACTTTGACTAATATTAACAAGGAGAAATATCAATTAATTACCTGATCTTGCAAGTTACTGGATTTCCACCACAACAATCCACATAGGAAAGACACCACCAAGACTTGTCCAACCTTGAGGCCAGAGAAGGACTCGTGTTTTCGTTCTTTCATCCCTCTTCTAAATAATACTGAGAATTGCTGCCACCATGTATTTGACCATTGATTGAATTTCTTCTCATGTAATTTATCAGAAACCTGATGATCATCAAATTCTTGCAATTGTCCCTTCAAGTTCTCCGCTAGATTGTTTTTGAAAGCAGTCACTAAAGTTTGCTTGATTGATGCTGGATCTTCTCCAGGATCGTCTGATGTTATGCGAGGATCATCCGATAATATACCTAACAAATTATATCGCACCAATTCATTAATCAAGATACCAATTGCTAAAAGATCATATATTACATTACGAGCATATATTATGAGTGACAATTTTGAAAATAATCGCCAAGATATGAACGAGTTTGCATCAACAGAGAATTGATCACACAAGCATGAACAACTTTTTACCATTTTTATGCATCAATTCTGCATCTATAGATCATATATAACAGAATAATTAATCGATATTTCTCCTTGTAATATTAGTCAAAGTAGGACATCATCCTGTGTATTTTAACTTGTAAATAGTACTGTCACATATCTGACCCTTTTAAAGACATGTCATATAATTCTTAAAGTACTTTGACAGTATTTCAATATAAAATGACAAATGACTCTAAGTGAAGCATAAAAAGAAGTTAGATGAACAATACCATTTGCAAGATCCAATAAGAAGTCCGAGGGATTCATAGCAACTAACGGTGAATATCCGACGCTAGAAAAGTACCCCATCGCATCCTCGCCTCTCCCAAAATATAGGGGATTTCCTTCAGATAACAGCAACACTTTGTGGAACATGTAAAATAGCCTACTCGAAGGCTGATGTATTGTCATGACAATAGTCCTACCGCCCTTCGCCAAATCCCTTAACGTCGACACAATCCTTTGAGCTGTTGTAGAATCAAGCCCTGATGTTGGTTCATCCAAGAACAACAAACTCGGGTTAATAAGCATTTCTTGTCCAATACTAACTCTTTTCCTCTCCCCTCCTGAAATTCCTCTCAATAGCGGACCTCCAATAATACTATCCTTGCACCTTGTCAATCCGAGCTGAGTTATAATCGCTTCAGCATGCGCGGTTTTTTCCTGAACCGTAAGTGTTCCAGGCAAACGAAGGAGAGCAGTGAATACGAGTGTTTCTGTCACAGTAAGGTGAGGGTAAAGAACATCATCTTGTGTCACGAAGCCCGTGTTACGCTTCATGGCATTGGAAAATGGCTTGTTGTTGTATGTTATGGCGCCATCGAGATGGCCATGAACGAGCCTGCCTCCTAATCCTGTTAGTAGAGTTGTTTTGCCACTGCCTGAAGGGCCTAATATGGCCAGCATTTCACCTGGAGAAACTATACCTGATACACCTTTCAATATTATTTTCTCTTCTTCTGAATTAGAGGAATTGATACACCCTTCTTTCACAAGCTTAATCTTGTAAACAACATTCTCAAACTGCAACATTTGATCACCCAAAGTATTATTTAGCAAATAACATAAAAATAATAATTTCATAGGATCAAATTAAAGGAGCAACTATTTATTAACTTGATAGAGCTTCTATTTTTTTTTTTTTTTTTTGAGAACTAGCATCTAATATAATCACCAGTTTGAGTTGACAAAAAGGTTCCTATCACACTTTAAGATCATCTAAAAAGATAGGAATAATTTCGCAACGTTCTTCGTCGATACGAGAGCCGAGATATCCGTTGCCGAGAGTTGTTTATGTTTCAAAAAACATTGTATAAACTCTTTACACCATTATATCGAGTATAAGTGAAATCCTAAAAAGAAACTTGATTAGGAAAAATAATTATTCAGTGCTTTCATATTGACAGATTAAAATGGCACTTATTTATTTCTACTTCTGACTTCTTTGTGCATCTCTTTCCTGTCCCGAATTTTTATTGGATGTCTCCAATTTAACAAAAGTGAAATTAACACACACTGCATTTTCTGGGCCAAAAAAGTTGAAAAGTTAAAGGAAATACTGATACAGGAGCATCTAATACTGATACAAAAGGAAATAGAATTAAAGCAAGGTAAACTATTAATGCTAGGGGTGTCAATGGATATTCGAAAACCGACCGAACCGTACCGTATTGAACCGATTTTTAGGTTTCTTTTTAAGAAACCGTAGGTTTTTATATAAATCTATAACCGCACCGATAATTAGGGTAAGTTTTTTATTTTACAAAAATAAACCGAAAAAATACAAACAGTACCAAATAAATTTTGCATTTGGAAAATATATTTATCTAGTAAGTTTAAAAATAATAATGCATTAAACTCAAAATATTAATTTCTAAAACCTATTATGATACTTCTACTTAAACTAAGTTATTTCTAAGTATCTTTATTAGCAAGACACAAAGTATTATAGCGATTACGAGTAGTAAACTACAATATATTGAATATGTTTCCTTTCATATAATTTAGATATATCTTTTTGAATATTTAATCTTTTATAGACTTTATTCTAGAGTTCTGGCTTGGTTAATATCTTTCTACTTGTGTGGTTTATATTTTCTTTGCCGTTGCTTGGTTTCTTTTACGTTATTGTAGAATAGTTGATGGATCTATACTCTAGTCACCTTTCATTTTTTTTAATTCTTTACCCTTTAAAAGGTAAAAATATCTAAAGAGTTATGCTAAATCCTATAAAAGAACGTATGCTATGGAAATCTACTTCTATTGGTGAATTTTATTTGATATTTACAAAAATACCGAAAATTAACCGAACTGTACCGATACCAAAGAAAAACTGATATGATTGGAACGGTTTCGAAAAGTCTAATTTTGGTTATACATCCGAAATTGGTATGGTACACATTTTATAAAATAACCGGCCGAACCGAACCATTGACACCCCTACTAATCAGTAGTCAGCCAGCATCCAACATTCCTGGAATTCCGATAAAAACGGCAGCCCATTGCTAAGGCAGCCCGGAATTGTATTTCGAAAGGCCGGACCACACGGGGTGTTACGTAGACAGCCTACCCTAATGCTTGCGCCATAGGTGACATACATGGATACATCCACGGAATTCCGATGAAAAAGAATATGAAATCTTATTATTATCAATGTAGAATTGATATTTTTAAATATATCATCACCTTTATATAATCTTTCTCAGATTAAAAAATTGACAATACATGCATGCAAGTTAATTTTCTCCAGAAGACATTTATACTAGTATCAGTTTTTATCATATGAAATATCCAAGAATTACCTTAAGAGTAACAGGACGATTAGATTTCTTGAAAATGGCTGCACTTTTAGATTGATGAGAGTGCAGATTTTGATGATGGAACGGTATATTCGCCATCTCTTGTTCCATGTTTAGAGTTCTTGGCCTTCTTCTATTACTTTCTTGAAAAGATTAATAGACTGAAAACTGATAAACCCAAAAATCAAATATATATAGATGAATCTGATGATTTTGTTATATTCGAAATTCTTGGGAATACGAATGGACTGATATCTAGAGGGAATGGAGAAATAATAAATGTTAGTAGAAGCGTAGCAGGACTTTAGATACGCATGTTATTAGGGAATGAAGACTAATTAAATATGACTAGTTGACTAAGTTTTAGTAGGATTTTGAAGGTAAATCAGAATTTTACTCATGCGATAAAAGAGAATTGAATATTTAGTAGTATTTGCATTATTTATTCATGCGATATAAGAGAATTAAATATTTAGTAGTATTTGCATTATTTATTCATGCGATATAAGAGAATTGAATAGGCGGCGGTAGGGATGTACATGGACCGGGTTGGTTCGATTTTTATCAAAACCAAACCAAACCAACTATATCGGGGTAAATTTTAAAAATAGCCAGATTTACAACTGGTCGTTCAAAAATAGGCCAATTTCAAAAGTAATCGAAATTTAGCCACTTTTTATATAAAGATAAATTTGAGCGAAAATACTGTTCAAAACGCGGAAAATACTCCAGTATATTATGCTGGAGTTCCAGCATAAGTATACTTGAACTCCAGCATATTATACTGGAGTTCCAGAATAAGTATGCTGGAACTCCAGCATAATATGATGGAGTTCCAGCATAAGTACACTAGAACTCCAGCATAATATACTGGAGTTCCAGCAGGTATATTGGTCCAGTATAATATACTGGAGTTTGGAGCACCGGTGCTCCAGTCTCCAATATATTATACTGGAGCCAACAAAGTATACCGGTCCAGCATAATATGCTGGAGTTCATACACAAGTGCACTGAACTCCAATATATTATGCTGGACCGGTCTCTATTGTAGCAAAATAGTGGCTATTTTTCATTGACTTGGTAACCGCTGGCTATTTTTGATTGACCAGTCCGAAAACTGGCTATACCGTGCTATTTTTACACTATATCGGCACGGATTGGTTCGATTTTGTCGAGGTTTTCGGTTTTTTGTGTTACATTAATATTATTTCAATCTTAGTTTGTTAAATTTTTGATAAGTAAATATATGTTTAGAAAATTGACAAACATATGATCTATTAAAATAATTTTATGGAAATTTTTTCTTAGTAACACATGATAGTTATTATTTGAGTCGTTTGTCAATAATTTTTCGTTGATGTACACTTTAAAGGTTAATCGAATTTAATAATTAAACATAAAAATCAATATGATACCTATATAATGATAATGTTTTATTTAATTTTAACTTATCGAAATACCAAGATATAAGAATTTAATAAATCTTGACATATGAATATGGAAGAATAAAGAGATTGACGCATTTAACTAACACTTGATAAGAAAGTTATCATAAAATCCATTATTTAAAGTTAATAAAAATTGAACACTTCATATTTAACTAAATATTACATCCCATAAGAGAATCGCAATATTTCTAAATACTTTTTAAGGAAAATTCTATAAAAAGTCTTAAAAGTACATATAAAAATTAAATATTTATATGTCGGTTTGGTTCGGATTTTTTACTCAATACCAAATCAGATCAAACCAAACCTAATCGGGATTTTTATTCGGTTTGATTTGGTTTCTTAATTTGGTGCGGTTTTTCGATTCGGTTAATACACCCCTAGGCGGCGGGCAATACTTGGTAGTAACAAGGGCTAGTGTACTTCATATGTTCTTCAGCCTCCCTTTTATTCTTTCAAAAATCGGCGAAAATCTTTTATAAAGAGCGGCCAAAGCTTCTAGAAGATTAAAAGTATTTTTTTGTCAACTTTAAGGTGTTTGACCAAATTACTTTTGAGTAGCAGCAGAGAAGCAGTTGAAAATTAATTAATTCAAGACAAAAATAATCTTACAATAAATTTATATTTTTTAAATTATCTCTCATTAATTTAATATTTTTTTTCTTTTCTTTTCTTTTTTTCCTTTTTTCTTTTTATTTCTACTATATATTTCTTTTTTTTTATTGCAATCATATTTTTATTCTCTTTCTCCTATTTCTAAGAGTATGTCTTAATTTTATATTGAATGATGTATTCTAATATATTTAGATATTATGTAACCAATAAGCAATTCTAAACACTCAATGTTATTATTTTGAAATAACTATATTTTATATTTATTGAAATTTTTAATTTATATTTTCATATTACATTTTATATTTTATTTGAATTCATTTATAATAAATGTTTAAATTTATTTTTCTTTATAAATAATACTAATCGTAAGTTGAGCATTTACTGTCCTTTTTTGTAATTTGATACTTAAAAGTTCATTTTTAAAATACTGGCAAACACAATGAGCTTAAAAAAAGCATTACTCAAACGAATTGGCCAAACACAAACTGCTCTTTAGCAAAAATACTTTTTTCAAAATATTTTTGAACAAAAGCACTTTTCAAAATCAGCAGTTTTTAGCTACTTGTCCAAACAGGCTCTAAAACTGCATTTTCTAATGCTGTTTGGTTGACTTTTTCTTTGAAAAAATTAAAGAAATCCTTTCTTAATCTCAAGCATATTGAAAGATAATTCTAACAATTTTCTTTTGTTTTTACGATCTCCTAATTTCTAAAAGGACGAACGAGATGAATATTTGTTGTCTCAACCATTCTTCTGTTTGGAATGTTGTGTAATTACTTTGGCGGTGTAATTACAAGGGTAATAATTACATTCCATGATAATTACGTAGTATAGTAATTAGATTTGTTTGTTTGTCATGACATAATTATAATGCAATTCTCACTTTCATGTTTTGTTGGATAAGTACAATTACACAGTTAAAGAAGCTTTTTTTTTTCCAGATTAACATGTAAAAAAGTTTACTGCATGAGAAACATATATGCAAATGATAAATATCAAATTTAATTTATTATGAGGTATTTTAAATAAATAAATTTTTGAAAGATATATTAAATAATTCGAATTTAAAAATAATTCATATCTCATAGATAAATAATATTATTACTTAAATAAATTAATAAGACTATAAGTAATATATTTATTTTTTTATCAACTCATGTAATTATAAATTTTTTTTGATATGAGCTTAGAAAATATTTCTTTATAAAAAATTATTTATACAAATGATTAGAAAATAAAAATAGTAAAATATAGAGTAATCAAATTTTGATGTGTAAAAAGTATATGTACATATAAGAAAGAGTAGATGTTATCTTTAACTATGTATTTAAATTGCATATTTAAAAAACAATATTGTAACGACAAAGGGAATACCAAATTAATAGAGAACTGCTCTCTAACCCAATGCTCACCGGCGCACGTTAGTACGACGTCCGACCACCGTGGATATGGCTCGGTGAAGAGGCAGACCTCGAGGAAGACCAAGGTTGCAACCTTTAGCTGGGGGTGGAAACCTAGCTGGAACTAACCTACACCTAGAGAAAACTCCAGTTGCTACAATGGCAAATGTTACTGTTCCATTGGAAGGAAATCAACAAAATCAACATGCAAAGGAATGAAGCAAGCTGCAGCTAAGGGATTGGATCTGAGTGAGAGCCCAATTTCAAGCTGCCAAAGTGACAAATCAACTGAGAAAACTACAGATCTGGTGATTACGAGCAAGGATCTAGCGAGCACGAGCAAGGCGGCACAAGATCCAGCACCAGTAAATGAGGAGAAAGGGGCGAAAGCAGCGTGGACTTCATTATTTGCAGGTAATCGCAGCTCTGAAAATGGTTTGAAACTGAGTTACATACCGCCTAAAATTGTAGAAGGTAAGACAGTGGTACAACTTGAGAAAGAGGATGTGGAAAAGGAAGTCAGGAAATGGAAATGTGCTCTAATTGTGTATGTAATAGGGGAAACACCGGGATATAATTACATGCATAGATTTGTAAAACAAAGTTGGAACCAAGTTTTAGAGCCGGAAGTATTCTATCATGAAGAAGGATACTATATTGTCAAATTTCAATCAATGAATGATATGAATGAGATACTATACTCGGGTCCATACACAATGAACAATAAGCCACTTATATTGAAGCCATGGACGATTAACTTTGATTTTACCAAGGAATTTCTAACTGAAATTCCACTGTGGGTGAAGCTTCCTAACCTTCCTATGAGTTGCTGGGAGGGCAGTCTTTGAGCAGAATTTGCTAGAGCTATTGGAAAACCATTGTATGCAGATAAATGCACCTCAAAACAAAAGAGGGTCTCATATGCCAGGATTTTAATTGAGATTAATGTTACTAGAGCATTGCCAACAAGTGTCACAGTTTGGGAACCAGATGGAAGACAATTTGAACAATCAGTAGACTATGACTGGAAGCCAGAATTCTGTGAAGAATGCCTGAAGATTGGTCACTCTTGTAAGAAAACTGAGAATGAGCATAACCCCTATGAACAACCTAGAAGAAGAAGGAGACTAGTTGCACCACTTGCTGCACAAGAAGGCCATCAACAAGCAGAGAAAGTGGTTCAAGAATGGAGAGTTAAAAAGACTGATGAGATAAAGGGTCCTCCTACTGTGGTAGTAGGAGCAGATCAACAAGTGGAAAAGATAAGTGCCAAGCAGCCTATTGATCAAACACAGCCTATGGAGCAAGCACAACAACAACTAACTAGAATTGGAGATCAAACACCTGGAAGGGAGATACAAAGCAATCAAAAAAGCCCTGAACTGAGCTGTACCAGGGAGTTTCCAACTCTGGCCACAAGTATACTGAGAGGTAATAGAACAGGAGAGTGCACAGGTGGAAAGGGGATACATCAATGCTTGCCCACAGCTAATAGTGGGCCACCTATTAGAGTTTAATGACTTGTGTGATTTAGAATGTGAGGGGAATAAATAAGAGATATAAACAAAAAGAACTAAAGAAATATGTACATAATAAGCAAATAAAGTTAGCTGGTTTTGTGGAAACTAGAGTCAAGGAGAACAGAGCC